CGGCGTTCTCGCCGGGAGCGGCCTGGGAACTTCCGAGGGGACCCGAAACTGGGCCCGCGAGCACTGCCTGGAGCCCCAGCCCGAAATCGGGGACTCCTCCGGACTGGAAGCCCGCGTCCAGCTGGGAGAGGAGCGCGGTCGGCTTTTGTCTGCCGGCGTCTCGAGGAGCCTACGTGGCCACGGATCCAGTTACCCCTTACTGCAGGGAGAGGGAAGGAATTTAAGATTTAAGGGGGACGAAAAAAACCTGGAATGGAATCTATATTAAAAGAACGTGCAACCATCCAAGAATGTTTTTCAAAAATAGAGAACTTAAGATTTAAGGGAGGAAAAAAAACTAGAATGGAATTTATATTAAAAGAACGTGCAACCATCCAAGAATGTTTTTTAAAAAGTAGAAAAGGAGGAGGCATGCTTTGTTAGACTCCTTGACAGCTCTGCAGCCCAAATTTTTAGATGGTTAACTGTGCGCTTCCCCAAGCCCTCATTGGATGCAGCGTGAGCTGCCACTTCTAGCAAACTAGGAACCAGTACACGAGGCCAGGGTTTAATAGGGACTCGATGCTGCAAGAAAAATGACCATGGTGGATAAAAGCCATGGACGCCAATCTAATTTACAAATAAAAATGCAAAAATAGCAAAACATGAACAAGGCGAATTCCACATTAAAGTGATACTACATACATCCTTCTGTGGATGAATGGACTAAGTCTCAGTAAACTCTCTAAGATGAAAATAATCAATAATCATCTAACTTTTAGATCCCAAGGGTTTAATGAAAAGCTACAAGTAATCCACAATAAATGTTAATTTTCCTAGAAATCAAAACTCAGTATGATTCATCCTAATTATAAGACAGGGGAGGGCCCCATTAACAATCACCCTAGATCGTGTGCCATACGTTTAAAAGATACTGGATAAAATTCAGTATCTACCTCTGACTCTGAAAATAAACAGTAAACCTAGAAATCATGTTACTTGTCATGAAAGGTTAGCTATGTGTTACAAATTGGTCTTCCAGTCTCTCCACTTTTCCAATTGCTCAGGCCTTTATACTAGGTCACCTGGAAACTTCCTCCTTCATTCTTCATATCTTCATATCAAATTTATCACCAGCTCTTATTATAGCGTAAGTTGCTGTCTGTTCTATATATTCTGTCTTTAACTCTTCTCACTCTGCCTTCTCACTCTGCCGTCTCGTTTATCTCTTCCCCTGACTGCAGGCCAAACCCAAATGCAGAATGCAGGCTACAAAGGAATTAAAAAAACAAAAAGGTTTCCCCCTTTTTAGCAGAGCTAGAAAAGGTTAAACGTCACTGTGCAAAGTCAGTAGTTCAAAACTGTCAGCTGCTCTGGGGAGAAAGATGGCACTTTCTACTCCTGTAAAAAGTTAAAGTCTCAGAAATTCACGGGGGCAGTTCTACCCTGTGCAATAGGGTACTGTGAGAAAAAAATATCGACTCGGTGGCAGTAAGTTTGTTGTTTAGGTGTGTTTTGTTTTGTTTTTGAAAGGGAAAAGGCCTGGAGTGGATCTTGAATGGATATTGATCAGCAGTAAATCTCACTGGCTTCTGGGGGAAGAAATGAGACTTTCTGTTGCTATAAAGACTGACAGCCTTCAAAACCCACAGGAGCAGGTCCACTCTGTCCTGTGGGGTCACTATGAGTCAGAACTGACTCCTCAGTGCGTTTTTGTTGTTGCTGTTGTGGTTTGGGTGTTGAGTGAGCCAATCTTCAGGCATTAAAAAAAAAGAGAGAAAGAAAATTAACATCCACCTCTACTGTTGCATTTTTAATATTTTATATATTTATTTTTTATATTTTAACATCTGTTGTCTGTCCCACCCTTTGGAAAAAGAGGGTTGTTATGAGTTGGAATTGACTCGAAGGCAGTATGTTTTTTGTTTGTTTGCTTGTTATTTTGGTTGTCTATTACTTTGTATTACCAAAATACAATGTATTCATTTTTTTTCTTTACAATATTTTCAGTGTAAACACACTAGTTATTTTTAAATTAATGTACAAGATAAATACCCCTAAGCCTATCACCCTAAAATGATAGATTTTTATTTTCTGCCCAGTCTTCTGGTCTGTCTACGTAGAGATTTTTAGATATCTTAGTATAGCTGTAATCTGGCATTCCATTTTTTTTGCTTGTGAAATATGAGGAAGAGGAGTAGCATCAGAACCTAATTTCAGAATGTTTACTTCAAGATCAACCCAGAGTTGATCAGAGATACTTCCACTCTCCAAACTTTTTATTAATTCTGACACCAGCCGTATGCCCCATAGTACTCACTACTTCTCTGCTGGGATCAATAATTCAATGCAATGGCCTAAGGGTTTCAGAAGCTGTACACAGATCAGCCTTTACACAGTCCGATATTACCCAATGTCTGATACTAGTCTATAAATTCCTCTTCAGACTCGTGAAACACATACAATGATGTCGAATGCAGGCCTGTGGGTGGGAAATCTTGTGGATCCAATGGTGGTGGAAGCATCTCCAGGGCTCTCGCTGCCATTAGTGTGGCTCTGTGTGGCTTGTCAACAGGAAGATGAAGCTGAGCAAGACTCTCTCCCCTCCAGGGAGGAAGACAGGAAGTTCCCAGAATCCTCATGAGAAGGCCATGCCCACAAGGAGGGATCATCAGGCTGTGACTTGATTGACAGGCTAGACTCCACCCCTTCATTCTTTTATCAAGTTGACATGAAATTGTGTAACTAGGTAGGTACTTTATTATTCAGCTTTCTATGAGCTAAATCTTCCATCTTGCACAACCTGGTCATCAGCATCCCATCTCTAGAGCCTTTTGCAAAAATAAAACTAAACACCCTTCCTGCTGGATCTACATGTGAAGTCCTTACATCAGTGTCCTCCAACCAACCTCTAACCCAAGAATCACCAGAAGGGAACACATTATCTGACACTTTGTCCTCCTCGGGTCAGTTACATTTAAAGTGGGAGGTGCATCTAGAGAACATCCAGGAGAACGTGACTCAATAGCCAGACCACGGGCGGAGAGGAGTGGGAAGAAGTCAGAATGCTGGAAGTATAATGCGATAACAAAGTCAGGTGTCCTGGGTCAGGGGGACAACAGGTGATACCACGAGCAGCCCCACCCTTTCCTTTTTCTGGAGTGGGAGGCCAGTGGGCACAGCTGTCTCTAGGTCCCCGGGGTGGGGACTGAGTATAGCGCAAGGTCACATGTGCCAATGCTGTTTGTGACAATGGGTCTTCCCAAATGACTAGTGGATTTGTTTGGGTTTTTGCTTAAGTTCTAAACCAAATCCTAGAGCCAGCTGATACTAGTAATCTGGAGGATAAAATAATGGTGTATCAATAAATGGAGGGTCCGACCTCCTTATGACATGTTAGATTATGAAAGATGTAAAATATTCAACTTTATCCCCCACCCTTTTTTTGGACTTTGTATTTTACTGCATGTCTCCTTCACTTTTAATCAATAAAGAGTAAATTGTCAAAAATAAATAAATAAATAAATAAAGTCAGGTGTCCCCAATTCAGGGAGTCTGTGGTATTTTGTCATGGAACCCCAGCTGCTCCTTGTCTGTACAGACAATCAAATCCCTTTTTTCTCTTGCACACAGTAGGCTCTTTCTTTCCATTGGCTAATAAAGTAGGACAAGAATCCATAGATTAGGCAACAATAGTTCTACATGAGCACAATGAAGTGTTCTGGAATTCCTATTCTTAAAAATGTTATCCCTAGTTTTCAATGATCCATACAACCCAGAGTCTTTGCACAGTTAATAAAACACAAGTAAATATCGTACTGATAGTCTCTACTTTCAACTAAGATCCACCTCACATCAGCAATTATGTCCCACATTTCACATCCTTTCCCGAATCCATCTTGAATTTTTGGCAATTACCTGTCTATGTGCTAATAAAACAAGTCTTTCTTAATTGGCATATCATTCACATATCATATAATTCAATAATTGAATCATATGAAGAAGGATTGTGCAATCACCACCAAATAAACTTTAGAATATTTTCTTCTTTCTTGCAGTTATTGTAATTAGCTCTGAATTTCCCCAAACTCCCCTGCTATGTCTCTATAGATTTACCTATCCTGGATTTCCTGTACAGAAAAGACATACAAAACACCAATAACAATGACAAAATAAAACTGAGAAAAAACACAAGTGAACAGAAAATATTAAAAACTGGAGCAAATTAAACATGGGTCAAGAGAAAGCTCTAATGATAGGTTGTTACATTTTAATGCACCAACCATAATCGACTGTATACTGCTCTGTCTGATAGCAAAGCTATTCACACCCCTGGACTATGGTGAGAGGCTTAATCTTCATGGAACCTGCAAATAGATTTGGGGCTCTCACTGTCATCCATAGCCTTGTGCAAACTGAGTGTTCAGAATTTAAGCTCTGATAACATTCTCTCCACTGGATTTGGATTTTATTATTTATAATCCTTGGACCACACAGGCTGTGTGCTTCTGTGTGGACTTAGTTGACATCTCATTTAGATAGCTACTTCTTTTGAAACAAGTCCTCAATCGCTGTTCTTTTTGACAGCTGGGCACCATGTGGTTTCTTCACCATTTTTGTTATAGCACCAGTACTTCAGTTATCTCTCCATGAGGATGAGTATCCAGTAGGGCTATGTCATAAGAACCAATTGTTCTTAATTAGGGCTACAAGTTAGT